TATCTGTCAGTTCGATGAGGACTCTCGGTTGCCCCAGCACTACATTTTTGATAAACGAAACCCGCAGTGAGTTGACAGATTACCCCCAGGATTGCACCCAGCCACTGCGGTGGTATACCGGCACCATGGTGACTCTCCCATATTAATTATTGGCCCACAATATTGAAACAGAAACCCCTGCAAATGCTCTGAGGCAGTTGACAAATCGATTTCTTTCCTTTTCCCTAGCCAACAAGAGGATTGACCCGAGAACAAACCCTTGATGGTCTGGCCCTCACTTTGCTCAAGTTTCAGTTTCGATTTCTGATTTCCCATACCATTTCTGCATCCCGGACATCCATTGGTGTCAATTAGGCTGTGGCAAGCTTTGTTCGTCTACAAATTGGCATTTCATTATGGATTCCATCCTGTTGCCAACGCATTGCGCATTCATTGAGCTGCTTATCACTGGTTGCTGCGGCTGTGGCAATCGACGGTTTTCCTCAGGCTTGTGGTGGTATATCGAATATCCTCTATCCTTTATCAGCTGCCTCATCCACATATTTTCCAATTCATTTCATCGCGAGTTGTGCGGAATCATCTGAAATTCAAATATCACTGCTAAAAAGCGTAACCATGTCTGAGTCCGCCTGTATCCTGTTGCCTGCCTCCTGGTGTTATCCTTCATCCGTGTCATCATCCCCTTTTTTCCCCCCCACTTTACGATCGAATGCTAATAAAGTCGTCTGCCGTTGGCCGTCGGCGCCAACTTGCATAATTCAATTACATCCGATGCAGACTCATAAAACTAAATCAAAGGAAAACAAAGCGTCACGCTTCATTTACTTTAGTACAACTCCTCGGCGGGGAGGGCATCCTTTTCCCTTTCCCCCCAAACCAAGAAGACCCCCCCATTTCGAAGTGGAGACACATCGAGCCGGCTAAGAGCAATAAAAGCGTTTGCCAAGAAGTTCTCCTTTGGCTTTTATTTCCTCCCAGCAAGTATCCTTCGTGTTGCTAGTCTGCTTATCCTCTTTGGCCGCCACCCAAGCTCCTTTTCTGACAGTTGACGTCCTTTGGTTGGCTGGTCGTTTGGTCGGTTTGGTATGGTGGTCTTTGGCAGACTCCAAAGCTAGCTGCAAGCTACCAGCTCTAGACCCGTCTGCTGGCCATGAAACATGAAAGTTTCCCGTCACTTCCGACGCCCCCGAGGCGCTGCTTTGCATGGGGAAAGCGGCAAACAATTTCCTCAACAGAAAGTTGGCTGCGACTTTGATTCTAGTTTTTCGCCCCGGCAATAATAATATCGCAGAATGTGATTGTCGTGACTGATTGCACTGGGTATGCAAAAGTTGGCAGCAATTTCTTGCAGTGCACTTAAGTTTATTGCTTCGGCAGGGTACAAAACTGAGCTGTTGCCCTTGTGGCGGATTTGAGTTAGTGCCAGGCATCAGGCATAAAGTGTTGGCGCATTATTATCTTTCGGACTTCATAACTTCTGGCCATAAAGTTCTGATTGGGCGCCAGCGGAGTGCCAAAAGTGCTGGGCAAATTGTCTTATTTCAAATAACATTTGCCTTACCAAATTGGCAAAGGCAACAGAAGGCCAAAGTTCCGCCCCCTTCATTATTTTCACATTTATCGAGCTAATTAACAGTTGGAAAATACGTGAGGCAATTGAAGCGAAAGAGCGGAAAACGCCTTCAAAAGTGTTTAAACTGAAAATGCCACATCACAAAGGAAAACTGACTGACAGCGAGTGTTGGAAGCTCTGAAAATACTCGTACTTCGACAGCCGTTGAGGAAATGAAATGGGTGAAAGGGTGGAGGATTGCTCAAAAGATGTTTGATTTGACAGCCATTCAAGGGGACTGCAGTTGGACTCGAGGAGAATGGTGGTCAGTGCTGGTCATCTTTGGTCCTTGCTGGTGCGAATAATGCACAATCCTTTATCGTGCAGTTTGTTCTTTTTTTTTTGTACAATGTCTTGGTAGGATAGTCTGCCAACTCGCAAAGTGCTTCCTTATTTTCTGATCCTGGCGCCTTGGAAGTCTGCGTCTCGGTTTCAGTATCCTCCGACTGGGTTTTATGATGGCGCAACAATCTGCAGGCTGTCAGGATTACTTTCATGCGGCAATTTGTTGGCCAGTTGGCAACTTTTGCCACATCCCGCTGTCCAGGGCAGGGAATCCACCCTTGCTCTTGGTCCTCCTCCTGCTGATCCCGTTCCCTTATCCACCGCATGCTGGCTTCTCCCTTTCTGGTCACGTGCCCATTTTGTTTACATGCCGCATTAAGGAGATTCCATTCCGTTTAGTTTTCACTCGCTGTGTTTCGTTTGGTTTTATTGCGATTTGATTCTATTTTCTGTCTGCCACACATTCTTTTTGCTATATACCCTCTGCTTAGTCCGTGCCACACAGATCAACGCATATTTGTTTTTACTCTTGCATTATTATCCTTATCCCGCCCCTTTTCTTCCTTTCGAATCCCTGATGGGGTTGGTGTGAACTTTAGCACTCTGCTGCAGCTTTTTCTCCGGCTTATCCTTCGTCGTGCAACTCCTGCAACTATTTAGTGCTTTCCACATCCACTTGTGTTTCCACTTCCACATCCATTTACTGTTCTGTTTTGTGGCTGCTTATTGTGTTCTATATCCGCCTTAGTACTGCCATTTGTTGCATTGGGGGTTGACTGGCTTAACCTTTTCTTTTTCCACTTTATCTTCAGCTCTTCTCTTAAACTCATTACTCAAGGAGTGAGCGTGTGGATAAATCTGGGATGAGAATGGGGCTTCGGGTGGGAATGGAGATGTGTTTGCTTCGCTGATAAGTGCACGGTTGGGGGATTAGTGGTTTCTTATCAGTTGGTATTGCTGTAGTTCACCTTCTCGATTCGCACAGTCTCAGCCTAAGGATCTGGAGGGGGGATTTTATCACAGGCAATTTACTTGCTGGCAGCTTAATGGCGCCCAACGTGGCACGTGCCCCACGTGCGAACAGTTCGAAATGGGTTGTTGAGATTGCAGAATTGGAACGCGGGGTTGACTGCTGACTGGCGCCTGGTTAGCCATGAAAATTTCAATTATTTTCAAAGGCCTTGTTATGATTTGTAATTGGTTTTCTTACGTTTCGTTACGTATCGCCGTCGTCTCCCTGCGACTGTCCCTTCTTTAATTAAAAGTCCGAGCGTATCGCAGCGTACAAGTTGGAGAGCCTAAAAGTTAGCACTTTTTCCGTTGTTTGCCTTCGCTTTGCCTTTGGTAATGAGGCATTCTCCGATTCTTCTAATGGCGAACTAATCAACCTTTTTTAATTGAATTCCTTGGGAAGAAGCTGTCGTTTTCAGGCCGGGGACAAATCAACGAAAGTTATTTCATTAAAAAATTTTAATTGACATTCGTTCTTCCAGCAAATTAAGCTTTGTGTCGTAAAAATATTTGCCCATCTCAGCTAGAAGTTTTTCGGCCAGGCCATCTGTCAGTTGGACAGGACCTGTCCCAGGACCTATTACCTCCTCTCCCCGTTCCTTTCCCCTTGCTGTCTCATTTTCACTTGCCCAATGAATCAAGCTGACAGAGCTCATATATATTTCTATTTCAGTTTTCTTGTTTTTTTTTTTTGACTCGAACTCGGACTTTTTGTGCAGAGTTCGCTTTTCCCTCTTTATAGATATTTTGATGTAATTACTGCGACAAGTTGCCCAATTTGCTTAGTTCGGAGTTCGTTTTATTTAATTAGTTTGAAGATTGTTTGTCCCGGCTCTTTTGCTCCTTCTTGTTCTTGATTCTTTTTTTTTTTTGGCCCAAGCTACTTTGGCTGGCAACAGGAAATTGCTCCGTTTCCTCGGCTGTTGAGTGACAAATTGAATTTGCTGTGACAAAATGGGGCTACTTGTAAAGGGCGCCCGTACATCAGATCCTGTCACAAGCCCAGAGGATGTATCACCCACCCACACACACACTCGCATACACTCGCACACACTCTTGAGCAATTAGATTTTTAGTGGCAGATCCTTTTTGGTCACTAGACTACACTGCATTGTACGGCTTCCGAAAAAAAAACCCATTTGGGGAGGCAACTTAGTTTATCTACTCGTTCTGGCCAACATTCCACAAATGCATCTGCAAGTGCTCTTAGGGATATTTAGGACTTTGTACTAAATTCGCTGTACAAGTGCTGGTTTTTATTGTGATGTACTGGGAACTAGTTCCTTTGCAATAAAGCTTAAAAGAAATAAATTGAATTTATTGAAAAAGTTTGGAAATCACTTAGAAATGTATCTGAAAGTAAGCGTTAAAATGTTTGCATTCGGAATCTCGGGAATAAACTTAACCTTCATCTATTGCATACTTTTAGGCACTTATTCATATGCCACTTTTGATGTCCTTCAAGAAGAAATCGAATTTAAGAAACTCAATTTTTGTTTAAAACTGAAAGGTATATTAATTGAAAAGAGTATTCAGTTTTCAACAATATTTAAACTACATTTTCTGTTAACTAAATACGAACTTTAATAAATATGAATTTTAAATATGCAATTTTGCTGTATAAATTATACTCCTTTCCCCTATAAATCCTTTAAAATTATTCAAAATACGCACACAAAGCGGAACTAGATCCGCTCTACTTCCGCTATCGGAGAACCAAAAACTCAACACGACATCAAGTGCAATCATAAACAAGCGCAGTTCAGGGCAACAACAGCAACATTTATCGCTAGCCATTTGCAAAAAAAATGCGCAACAGTTGCATGTGGCAGCCAGTGGCAACAACAGCAGCAACAACAACAACACAAAACAAACAATTGTCCTTTCTCCGGCCCTAAAATCCGCATCACCCCCTGCGGCCACCCAATTTACTGCCGGCATTTTGGCAGCAATACCCAACGAAGCCCGAAAAATTGCGCATGTGCCCACAGAAAGGCCGAGTTCTTCACGGTGGCAAGTTCGTGAAAAAGAGTAACTAAAGACTCCGAAGGAAGTCTTGCCACCGATTCAGTCGCTCGCCACTTTTCGAAACACACGGTTGTCGAGAACTTCCACCGGCGGGAAATTGTGGAAAAGTGCTGATTGCGTGCGTGAGTGTGTGCGTGAGGGAAAAGCGAAATTCTCCGTCCAAGCAAGAAACAACAACAACAAACACAAACGAAGTTCCGTAGTTCCTGCGTTGCCCACAAGCCGCAAAACCGAATCATTAATAAAGAAAAGCCCTGCCGTCGACAATATTGTTTCGCGGTCCCTGCATGTTGACACGGCTTAAATGGGGCATTAAGTGCTCGGTGGCCAGTTCTCGGTGTTCAGTGCTCATACATGCAATTTCTGCTAATCACAAGTGCAAAAATCCCCTCTGTGTGCCCAACTGGCTGGCAAAAACGAAAGGATTAAGCTCCTGGATCCACATCAGTGGTATGTCCCTTCCGAGTCGACAGGCGTAAAGCTGATTGCCCGGTGATATAAGTAAGCATTTAATGTGTTTTGTGTTCTTTCTGCTGACCGATTTCAACACCCGCTTGAACCCGTCACACAGAATCGCACCCATTTCAAACTCTCGACCGGAACTAAATAAATAATTGTGCTGGATGTTTCCCACTACTACACCCCCATTTTTATATGGTTTTTTTGTGCCTTTTTTTATGGTGTCACATTGCGTGACTGAGTGAACTTGCCATGATGGACTGACACTAATTGCAATGTGTGAGAATGATGGCCCTTTCCTTTTCCGGTGCCTAGAAGTAGGCAATAAAAAAGTAATGCAAACTTTGAGGACCAAATGAGTGGGCAAAGAACAAGAAATAAGAAGAAACTAGAATGGAATGCAGGCTAAGTCTTATTACTATGTTTAGATGAGCTAGCATTAAAGAGTCTTTATTAGAGTGTCTTCAGTAAGAGTCGTACAAGTAGGTAATCACACAAAATGGAAACTGAAATGGGCCAGAAAATAGGACGAATAGGAGTCTTCAGTTCAATGAACCGACTATAAGATACCTGTCAATGTTTATTCGCGTAAAATAAAACTTTCTGAACACGAACAAATTATACTATCTTGTGCTTAAAGCTGATTATATCCATATAGAACAATAAGAAACTATTTTTATTAGAAATAAAACAGAAAAGTATTGCAGGATTTGCCAATTTTGCGTAGTTTGAAAAAGTTTTCTGCATTAAAAATTTGAGTAAAACATAAAACTTCAAAACGAGTTTATAGTTTAGGTGGGTTCTCTGTGGCAATATACAAGTTTTTAATAACTTCCTTAATTAAAGTTCATAATAGAAATTAAAATTGTAATATAACTCCCCTATGGCTTTATGTCTTTAAAGTAGGTTTATTTCATAGGAAAATCAAAAACTTACATTACTCATGCATGACTCTAATATAAACTTAATGGGGTCAGCAATATATCTGAAAAACCCAAATATTCCCTGGCCATCAAGCAGTACACCCGTCTTAATGGAGGAGAATAAAACTGAAAAATGCAAATCTCTCGTTGCGCTTGGGCAACTCTAAATGGGCTGGCCCGACACTTAGCACCACCACCCATTACCCGAACCACCCAGAGAACCTTCAAGCCAGTACCCCAACCACCGAGCCACCACTCAGTGCACGCCAACGCCTCGACACGACAGTCTACGTTGATTGAATGCCTAAGTGCCCAGCCAACAGCAACAAAGGAGGAGGCACAAAGTGAAACTAAAAGTTTGGCCTTAAGTGTGCGCCTCCACAGTTTCCCTTTTAGCCCGGTTTTTATATGCCTTAGCCTCTGATTAGGGGTCTTTGGGCAAAATATGCATAGATTAGGCACGCTTTTAGCGCTCGATTGCTAGGACACACTCGGCTTGATGTTTCAATTAGGGGTATAAAAAAAGAACTCTAAAAAGAAGGCCAGCCAAGGAGCCGGTCCTGGTCCTGCAGTGACCCAGATAGCCGGCTCAGATGTCGTTCCCAGTCAGATTTTCTACCCAACACCCTAAAAAGAGAGAGAAAATATCATTTTAATAACCGAAATGACAGCCATAAATCAATGATTATTGCCCATTGTCTGGCGAGTAGGGGGATTGTCGTTGTCGGTTGCCCTCGTCATTTGGAGGGGCTTTAAAACGAGGGACTTGACTGTCGTCGCTGAGATACTTTTACTGAGATAAAAATCCCCCGCAGCCTCAGTGTTGTCGCTTAGCTCGGCTTCTGTCACTTGCCACCATAAATTTACGCCACATAATATTGAAAATTCCCATCAGACAACCGCACGGTGTTGAGTTAAACTCGTAAAACGTAATTGAGGTTGTATTTCATGTTAAATGGCTGGATAGCTGCCTGGCTGCCTGACTGCCTGACTGGCTGGGTGGCCAGTGGTTGTAGTCCTCGGTTTCTCTCTGGATCAGGGAACTGGATATGTGAGATGGTCATTATAGGGTTATTTACTAGGCTCTTGGTTGCATGCAGACGAGCATCCATAAAAAGCTTTCATTCTGTTTTCCCAGCTGTGGCAATGAGGGTAATCCCACGTGTGGTTAGATCTTCAGGTCTTTAGTTTATAAAGAAAATCTCTCTCCTAAGCTGAAATCATAATAAAATCCCTTATTATTTGTATGTTTTTATTATTTTCTCACAGTTTGTGATTAGATTTTTATACAATTCCATTTTCAATCGAGAAATAGATTAAATTCCATGGTTTAACCATTGAAATTCGAGCACAATTAAATCTGATTTGCATTTGTTGATTTAAATTCCTGCATATTTGCTTAAATAGTTTGACAAGCCATTGAACATGACAGAACAAAAATAATTGCAATGCCATTCGAGTTCACTTTCATTGAAATTTAACACTTGTCAGATAAATAAACAGAATTTATTAACTATAGAGTGTCGAGAAAAATGTAAATTTTTGTTGAATAAAAAATATGTAAAAAAGGAGAAATGAAAGAAATTTGTAACCAACTAGGCCTTCTATAATTTTAGTTTAAAAGTGTATTAGAAACTCAACCCTTTTGTTAACAATATCTGAATTTTATTTTTGAAAAGTCAATAGCAACGACATGAAAATATGACCACAAAAAAATCTAATTTGCATTTAACTTTTGTTAAATTAGTTACATAGTTTACCCATTTGCCATGAAATTAAAAATGAGCAAAGAGCAAAAACTATATTCAGCCCATTGAAATTCACACTTTTTCTAATAAAGCAAAATAATTAACTTTTAGAAATTGATTAAATTTTGATTCCCTAATATCTAAGGCTAAACAAAAAACTGCTGTCAAATATGAGAGAGTGTCCTTCCACCCCAATGGTAATTATGACTGCCAAAGATCGATAATTTTCCTAGTTTATGGACGCAATAATTACGAAAGTAATTTCGAAACTGTTGGTAATTAGAAAGGCCCCACATTAAGTGGAAACTGTCATCATGCAAAATCGCACAAATTGTGAATTTAATTGCGCAGGCCAGGCCAGAGCCAGGCCGTAGCCAGACTCTAATGCCCAAAAACGACCCAATTTTACCGCCAAACATGAATGTCTTTCATTAGGGATCCTGGTATTTTGGATAAATATATATATTTACTACACATGTTCAGCTGAAAATCGTTAGCCCAGTGGACCGTAGCGACAAAATGAAACAAAATGGAACAAATCGAGCCGACCTTTTCACCCCCTCTACTGCTGCTGCCTTGTCCACCACCCCCCTCGTGGTGTAATGTAAATTAATTGCCTGCACAAATTAGCCAGTCCGGCGAACATTTTGGACATTAGGCTCGGGACTTTTTGGGCAGGACATGTACAATTCCCCAATTGTTGCCAAAACATTCGCCAAAAACAATTCGACATTAAATATATATATATGTATATATCTGTATATATAGAACAATGGCCAGGTAATGCCAGGTAAACATGGCAAACTGTCGCTCGTTACTTTTAATCAGTTATCAAAATTTATGGGCAACAATTTGTCCGGTCAGCGCGAAAAATTCGCATTGTGTTTGCGTAGTCCATTTCCCATTTGGAGTCCATTTTCAAATATTTACGCCAATTTAATGAGCTCAGGCCTCGGTCGGACTCGGCACAGCGGTTGTTTATTTGCCCGCCAAATTAAACTGAACGACGGCCCATGCACTCAGACAATAAAGTTGGTTAAATAACAAGAAAATGTTTATCGATGGGCATTTTTTTCGGTTAAACAGAATAAGTGTTAATATAGATAGATATAGAAAGATGTATACGTTTTTAAGTATAACAAGAAAATACATTTTAAGCCATACAAAAAAGCTGGCAAAATGGAGGCATAGATGGCGCTAATGTCTTAAATTTAAAATAAGTTCTGGTATCACCAGAAATGTTTCTTCTTCTGTTTCTCAGAGAAAGTTAATATTTGCAGTTCCCTTTTCTAACATCTAAAAACAATAGTTAATAAAATCTTTTCTTCTACTGTACCTAGTCACTTAAAGTTAATGAGTATTGCCACAGGGAATGGCAGTGAATGCAATTCGATATTTTTGTTTTTAGGGAGAACGGAAAAACTATTCTCATTTGATGGCCAGCAAAAGCCGAGGGCCAAACTAAATTTGAGTTTCAGTTTCAATGTGCTGGCCAGCCCACTCGCCTTATTCGAATGCGAAATTTGTTTTTGTTTTTGTTAGCCAAAATAGATTTCATTGGAGTTTTAATAGCCAAGGAGATGGATATCCTACCGCATTCGGTTGTTTATCATCAGTTAGATAGACGACGAACCAGAACGGGGGAATTGCCAGTTTGGTTGCTACTCGGGAAAAGTCCCGCCGGCTGTTTTCCCAGCCCAAGCAACAACAAATGGGATTGCGATTGGTGGTAGCTGTGAGCTCTGTGAGCTGTAAGCTGGGGGAGAAATGGGAAAATGGGTGGGCTGAAGCCATGACAGGGCATTTAGGGTCGGGGAATAGCCGAGGAACTGGAAACGCTAAGCAAACACAGCTCAGGACGATGGAGAAGGAGCAATCGGTGGAAATAAAATATTAACTCAGCCCGCCCTCCCCGACTCCAGCTCACGATTCAATTAGAAGCGAAAGCCATTTTATAATTGAAACGAGCCTTGGAGGAGCCTGAGGCCCCATTTTTCCCCCAACCTCAAGCCAACGTGAAAGCCTTTTCAATCTAGGCCGAGTTCTGGGCGGAGACGGCGGAAAATAATACACATCGATAAATATTAGCTGGAGAAAAATGATGCAGGCACCGCGGCAAAGATTATTATTCATTACGGATCCGACTTCTCCCACGGATTTTCTCCCCAGAGTAATTGAAAAGTTTTGCCCAGCTCCACCACCCACCCTCCAAGCCAAAACTCATCCATTCATGACTCATCTTGGGGGATCTTTCTTCCAGTTCCTGAAACAACGGCAAATGCTCAATTTGTCACTTGGAGCTTCGGGGGAGGAGTAGGAGGAGCAGGGGCAAGAGGCGTGGCAGACTGACAGATGATGCGTGTGACTAAGCAGAAAATGCTCGGTAGAAACTTATTTTCCCCCTGTTATTTCCCCCATTCCCTTGATTATGATTGAGTTGATGTAGTTAATATGTTATCGACTAAGATGATGATTGCTGTAAAGGATGGCTGTAACTCCCGTTTACCTTACATTTTCCGTCACCCTCCAGGAAGTGCACACCAAGCCTCCATGTCTGCTGCTCCATTTAAATCAGTTACAGTGACTTCCCCCTCAGAAAACAGAGCACACACAGCCAAAGACACACATTCCCCTTCGTTTATTTGTCTTTTGAATTATTAATGCATCCGCTGAATGACTTCGAAAGCACAAGGATTCGTGTTTTCCTTCAGCAGAGTCTGCCACTGCCTCTGACTCTGCTCCTCTTACTGCCTTTTCATGATGATGATAAAGGTGATGATGATGGGTCTGAGCCGGAAGGTGCCTGGATCTGCTGATGATCTGGCTCTTAATCAAGTGACTCACTCGCTTTCCATCCCGCGGCGCTCTTTTCGGCGCAGATAAGTTTAATTAAAAAGACCGCAACATTCTTTGGCTTAGCCCAGGAATTGCCTTCGTCCGCTGGCGAAACTATCTGCTGCTGGTGAAACTTTAAAATTCCAAAAATGTACCAACGCAAAAAGAGAAATCGGAAAACGGAGGCAACAAACTTTTCTGATTTCGATTTTTATTGCGGCCAGAAAATGGAGAAAAGCGAGAGGAGTATTGGCCAAAAAGCAAGAGCCAAGTGGAGAATCAGTTTACCATGGAGATAGAAGAGGTTTTGGTTGCTTCTTGGCAACAATTTCATTTTGGGAGCACTCGACTGGCCCCATTCCTTTGCCATGCCCACGATCCCCACCCACTTGCACTTTGACCCACCTGCCTCGCTCCAATGCAGTTGGCATTCCATTCGGGTTACATGCACACGCAACCACCAAGGATAGAGGGGAAAGAGGAAGGAGCAGCTGAATAAACACGTAGACCAAACAACAATGAGCAAGGAGGGTAAACCACCTGAACCACTTGAACCACAAACATTTCGAAAGCCAAAGTTGTTCCCTTTTTCCAGTTCATAATTTATGCCAAACAAACACATAAATATTACCTCAAATTTATTAAAGCACCAGCCACTCCCAACTGCCAACTCCCAACCACCAACTCATGTGCGATGGAAGTAAATCACTTCAGAAAGCGGGGATGGATCTCTTCTTACCCCTAAGCTGTTAATCTCTTCGCAACTTTCTAATTACTTTTGCAGGGGAGAAACTTTTTATTTTGATTCTACAAATTGTTTGCTCCACTGAACCACACATCACCACATATTCAGACTCCCCTTCCTAATCCTGAAGGGTAGACCATCCCCACAAACGCATCTTCTTTGTCAACTTATTTTTTCCCTGCTGCAGTCTGATTTGCACTAAACTAAATCACTTTCTATTCAACAGGAACCGAACTTTAACGAGGAAGGAACAGCAATAGGTTAGAGGAGGAATATGGAGTAACCAGGAGCAGAAAAGTGGACAAAGTGACAGGCGATAGCCACAGAACAACACAGGAAAAAGAGGAAAGCTGGTCCAGTTGACAGGAGCTCAGCCAATAAAAGCCAACCGAACTCAGTCCGGGCCACATTCGGACACATTGATGCAAAAAGGCAGAGGAGGAGGCCAACAGCAACCGCAGCAAAACAAAGCTGGAAAACTCGAAAAGTTGGTCTGAAACGGTCCGTAGGAGGAGCAAAAAGAGAAAAGCGAGGAGCAGCCAGCGGAAGCCGAGGCTGAAAAGTTCCCAAATTTGGTAGACAGACCTCCTTCTCCTTCTCATTCTGGCCTGGCCGTATCATTCCCATACCCACTTCCAACCGGAACAGTTAGCAGCAGTTGGAATTTGATTTTAACGCTTATTCGAGAACTTGGGATCTGTTCCGAATCCTCTGTCTGTGGCACCAGCAACTCTGACAACCGTCACCCAAAGAAGGAGCAACTGGCACCCGATTTAAAATCAGCACCAGGAAAACTTCACCTCGGAAAACTCCCCTTTTGAGCTACGCATCAATGGAAACACATTGAGATTTGCTGTCAAAGGGGAGCAACCGGAAGAGGCAGAAGGACCAAGTGGAGCTGTGGAAATGCCCGCCACTTGCGGCGACACATGCTCTGACAATTTATTGACTCCTCGCGGCACCCACTAAACAAATCCTGCCCCACCATGGGACTCCTCCCTCCGCCCCTCGTGCTCCTCCTTGTATGCCTAACGTCCGTCAGTGGCTATCTGAACATTTTCATCAGCCACCACGAGGTGATGAAACTGATGGGTAAGTCCAGTCCCAGTTTCAGTTCCGGCACTTAATCCATTAATGAAACTTCGATTGGGGCACTGACACTCCCACTCCACGAACTGAGCTCCCCTGACCCAGGATCTATGATTAATAGTCGGAGGCCAGAGTGCGACAGGACATATTCATTGATCCCTGAACACGAAAACACAAACAAAGCCCGAACTTGGGGACCATGTCGCAGTCATTAATAGTTCCCGAAATTATAGTTGACCATTAAAGGGCGTTGGTGGGGGAGTAATGAGGGGAGGTGGAATACTACAGGAATACTTAGTAAAGCGAAACCAAAACAAATCGCACACAAATGGATTTCCTCCGGGCCTAAACCACCCGCCTTCACCTTGCTGACAGCTGCAAGTAGCTTCACCTCCCCATTTTCCATTTTCCTCGAACATTTCCCTCACTTCCTCCCTCTGCTTTCCGTGTTCTTCCCTGTCCGCTGTTCCTTGTTTGTTTTCTTGTTTTTCCGTTTGTTGCTCCACGCGAATTCTTGTTATTGATGGCGCCGGCTCCAGATCGAGCCAAGGCCAAGTTCCCCAGCCCAACCCAACCCACTCCTCCTGGTAGGAGTTACACGGATTTCATAGACGTGCCAAGGCGGAATGGCCTCGTGCTTGTCGTTTGGCTCGCGATTTTCCTGCTCCTCAGGTTGATTAATGGACCTCAGAAATAGGAATAAAATGGGAAATGGGAGTGGAAACTCCGATGTGGAGGCACGGAAAACTGGCCTAGTTCGCGGTCGCTACTCCATCACTCGCTGCTTAGCTGGTCACAGCATTTTCCGGCACTTAGCTGTAATTGGAGCATAAACGCTTCCATCTCATTATGCAGGTTCCACTCCTCTCCACTCTGCTTCCTAGTTGCCAAATCAGGGCACTTCAATTAGTTGATGGCGCACAAATAATCCGCAGTCAGAGAGATGGATGCCAGATTGATGGATGAATGAGCTGCAGTGCATCCAATTATTCCTGTCCATCTCCTATCTGGGACTTCTCTCTCCTTGAAGGCATTCAAATGCATTCTGGATCAATAGGGCAAGTGGGGTCTTTCCTGCCGATTGCACTTTATAAACAACCCATCATCGACACTTTTCCCGCTTTCCCAGCTGCTTGACCCTCCTGCCAATCGGATTTCATTAGCGACATTTCAAAAGATGTTTCCACTTTGTTTGTTGCTCCTCGCGATTTCCTTTGCTTCTCTAGAAGAGATTCCTTTTGAGCTGCTTTCCCTTCCCCTTCTCAGATTTCCTCACTCCACTTCTAAAAGCTCGTTATGTTTTTAACGACCAGTTAACACCCCTGGAAAGCATCCCCTTCCCCCATTTTCTATGGCTGCCACCCCCTGAGTTGTTTCGATTTGAAAATTAACAAGCAGCATGAAATCAAACAACTGACCCTCCTCCTCTTTTTATTTTCCACTCCCCCGATGGGAAATTCCTGTGCATGATTTTCCCTTAGACTTCCACCTCATTTCCCTTTCATCCTCCGCTGCCTTTCGGTCTCCATGGGAGTTCCTTCATGTGGAAGGCTCGTCACGGATGCCTGAACTAGTTCCATTTCCATCCCAGCCAACTTTTCCTCTTTCGCTGCATTTCCCCATATGGATATGAGGATTTACTTGCAACAATTTGTTGTGCACTTTTCGGCTTCTTTGGCGACTTTTCTCTTGAGGAGTAAACAAAATTCATGGCTTTTCTTCATTTCGTCTCAATTGTCACTTCCAAATCCTTGAACTTTGCCATTTCTTAGCCACCAAAACACTCCCCTCACTGTAACTCTTCGATGAAGTGTCGACAGCATTAAAATTAAATATTTTCTGCGCTTTTGTGGAAGATTTTCCGCCTCTGAGTTCAATTTGGATGTGTTGTCCCAGCAACGAACCATTTTCCTCGTTGCCACCGACACCGACCGTCACTCCCTTTTCCCTCTTTTCCCACTTTTCCCACTCCCCTTCCGTTGAAGACTTTCCTGTTCAAGGGTGCGTAAAAATGCAATTTCAACAAGTTTCGCTTTGATGTGCACACTTTTTCTTTGCCACCCGATCCCTGGTCTCTGCCCTTCGGACCAGTTTCCATCTTCCATCCGCCCCACCCCCAGGGTGGACCACAACCTTCGGCGGGTGAGCTGGGATATTTCCCTGCAAATGAAAAGTTAATGCAAAAGAAAATTATTTTTAATGAATAGAAAACAGTCGAAAAATCCCCACATTAATATACTCCGCCTCTGGGATTAGGGGTGTTCCTTCTCCAAGGGTGGTTTGGCATCTGGAATCCATCTTTATTGCTCTGAAATCAGAAGAAGGCAGAAGTTGAGGACAGGAAATCACAAACTGTGCCAATTGAACGAGCAATCCTCATCTCTGATTCATAGGACAATTAGCAGGAACTCCCCGAGTCAGGGACGAGGTGATTCTGCACTCCCCCGAGATCGAAAGAGGAGGATTGGGGGGAGGCGGTGCACTCTCTCAACTAATGACACTAATTATCCTCTTAATCTCTTATTCAAATAGTGTCTCCTCTTCGTTGGCACTGCGAGAGCAGAAAACTAACACGGCACCGGCACCGAGGTTACCCCACTTCACCTCCATCTCTGGAGGAGCATGTAGCCCATTTCTCCCCCTACGAGATTATGAGTTGCGGTTGCCACGTCACGTGTGTGCGGTGGAGTCATTCAGACAATCGCAATTGCAGGAATTATAATTATGGCCAGGGAGGGGAGGCAAGTTGAGGTGGTATTACAGGGACGGGGAAAAGAAGGGTCTGACGAGGGCGAACTCCTGAAGAGAGCTGAGAAGAAAAGCGCGAAAGTTTCGCAGGCAAAGTTGGCGGGACCGTGATATGAAAGACGAGCAAAGTTTGACACCAGAAGGTGAGGGGACTTAAGGGGTTCTCCACGAGATTTCCTTTCCAGGAGCAGGATGAACTTGTGCAAGAGGGTGAGAAATGCCAATTGATGCTGCTTAAAGTGCAGTTCAAGATTGCGCTCCCCAGTGAAGCCAATCGAGGTGACAGACATTACAAGGGTTAAGGGAATCGAGGGATAGAACACTTCCGACATGCCAGAAATCAGAACTGAATTAATTGAGGCAGTCACTTATTCAAATACCTTTCACAGTTTCCACCCACATAGTGGCCAGAAAGGACTCAAAGGCGGAGGATGACAGAGGAACATTGTCCTTTTTCCGTGTTTGTGCATATTTGATGGGAAGCACTTTGGGGTTATGTTTGTGTTTTCCCTCCAACTCAAAGAAATTTAGTAAAGCAGCAGGTAGTTGGGGGTATAGGAGGAAGGGGAGGGTGCTGCACTTGGCCCACTCTAAAGCCCAGGCTAAAAACGCGACGGGGGCCAAAGCAATTTGGGACTCGAAAACAAACCCAAAATGGAAACGGATAAGTAGAAAACGCATAGAAAAGTGAGCTGACAGAGAGAAGCAGTTTGAAGATGTAGATGAAGCCGAGACCTGGATGAAAGCTAACGAAAAATGCTTTTCCTTGTTCTGTAATTGGATTTAAAATTGTTTTAAGCAGCTAGCGAGCGCTTTGTTCTATCCTAAATGCATGGGTCTTCCTCCTGCGCCAATCATCCCCTCGTTCAGTCCGCCGGAAGCGGAATTGCTACATTCAACATCCGGCGGAGTCTATGGAAGAACAAGCAGCAGCAGCAGCAGCTTCAGCTCGAACTTGAAGCGGGTAAACACCGAGCATTCCCACTCCTTTCACTCTGGTGAATAGCGAACTTAGCCTGATCCCGGGGAGTAAGTAATGCACCCCACCGGAGAAGGGGGCGATGGGATAGAAATAGAAGAGCAACAATAAAAGCGGATGAAGAAATTTAATTTCACGTCGTTTTAACTCAAGCAGCTCGTCTTTCATGGCCAGCGGGTGGGGAATTTGAATGGAGAGGAGGGAGAGTTGAAAAGATCAGGATAGTCGAGGACTTTTGAACCCGCCAATACGATTCTATCCTATGGTGAAGCAGTCGCAGTTGACACCTTTTAATACCTCCAGCCGAATCCCTTCCCCTAGGACGCCTGTCGCTCCTCATTTCAGGTTGCTCCTTGTCCTGAACCAGGACTCGAGACACTCCCTGCATCGTCGCCTGCTGGTGACGGATTCGATTTCGATTATTATTGTGTCTTGGGTTTTGTTTACCCACCAGCATTGTCACCTCGAGCTGTCCCCTTTTCCCCATCCTTTCCTTTTCCATTGAGAAAATCAATTTCCGCTTAATGGCGGAGAGAAACGCTCGAGGGGAGTGTAAACAGCAAATGCACAAAGTTTGCTCAGCAGGAGGAACCATCGGCTCTAATGGAGTGGGTATAGCTGAGCAAATTGCGGGGAAACTTTCGCTTTACGTCTGCAATGCATCCGCAACCACTCTCACCTCGTATCCTGTTGGTTCTTTTATCCCCTGCAGGACTCGAGGCGGACCTTTTCTATGTGCACGAGGGAGCCATCAACACATATGCGATGCACTTCACCGTTCCAGTGCCCGCGGATGTCCATGAGCTGGAGTTCTCCTGGCAGAGTCTCATTGCCTATCCAGTGAGTAAACTTGATTCTACCATCCAGAAACTTCGATGATTAACCATTACACCGCCCTCACTTTTTACAGCTGCCGTATGCTATAAGTATCGAGTACAACAACGACCAGGAGGCATTGGGCACACCCACGCTGAGTATTCCGCACAAGGGTCTGGTTCCACAGGAGATCGAGTCCTTCCTGGTTTACCTGCCCTGCACGGGAAATGCGAGCCTGCAGATGCCCGTCAATGTCAACATGGTGGTGCGTGGCCCTCCTCGATTCAACGACACCCGCCTCCACTTCAAGCGGAATAAGATCTGCGCCAAAGGTGGGTACTCCATCAGCTTTCCATCATTCACACTCACACCAAGACCAATACCCACTTATTATCCATCACTCATCGGAATTCCGTTTCGTAGGCATCTCACCTGAGCCCAATCAATCGCCAGCCCCCGCCCACGCTCCCTCGCAAGGACCCGCCCTCCTGAGTGCAGCCGCCTGTGCTCTTGGTTTGGTTTTGGCCGTAGGTCTAGTGGCCAGCATGATGTATGTGAGGGCGCGCAAACAGCTTCGCCAGGACTCGCTACAGTGAGTTAACAGCCGCCATCCTTTTGCACATAAAACCATTAACACTCCTCCCCGTATTTAGCACCAGTTTCACCACCGCAGCTTATGGCAGCCACCAGAACGTGTTCATCCGTCTGGATCCCCTGGGAAGACCGCCGAGTGCCACGGGATCCTATGCCACCATAGCCAGCCTCAACAAATACCCAGCGGACAGCAAGAAGTCATGCAGCATATTCGACCGTAAGTTCATTACCCCACCCGACCGACTTTGATGAGGCCTAACCCTGACAATCCCTCGACCAATCCACAGGTTTCAGGAGCTCACCCACACCCACGCCTTACGCCACTGCGTTGCTGCCCATGAACCTTGAACAGACCGCAGAGACGATTTACTCGAAGCCAGAGTCGATCTGTCCCTCGAGGATTTCCTACTACGCCTCCTCGCAACTGACCCAGGTGAGTGCTGTGATTCCACTATCTAACCCACTATCAACTATCCCAGGGGCTTGATTGGATTCGAAATGGGAACTCGGACTCGGACTGGGGTCCACTGCGAAATCAAAGCCTTTGATATATTACGACACGTGGCAGGCGCAAATGGCAAATGGAAATGGGAATACGCTTGAAGCAGACTCTACTTTCCCCGTTGCCAGGGCTACCCTCTAATTTGTGCCGAGCACCACTCGATTGCTCCCCAGGCGGAGGACCCCCTTCTACCCAGTCCCTGCACCAGCCACCTTTCCTCGGCGATAAAAATTAAATTCTAATTTATATTTACGAGCTGATAAAGCTCCCGTAGTGCGTTAAACTCGAAACAAGAGCCATTCATAAATATGCGGCTTTTGCCTTTGCCACCCGCTCTCCTTCCCAAGGATGTCTGCATGTCTGGGTCTGATTTCGGAGGGGGGAACTTTCGAGTGGCGCTCACGTACTCCATGTGGCGGGTGGAGAGTGGAAAGTGGGCGAAGGTGAAGGCGACACACAAACCCAGTGCCTCGAGAGTCGAATGATGTGAGACTTTCGAGGAGGGTGGTGGGATGTCCGCTTAGATAAGCGGAAGGTGCTCCATCGAGGCAGACGCAGACAGTCTGCCCCTGTTTATCTTTGTTTTTGTTTCCAATTCACTGAATTTTGCACAATGCATACCCCTTGGGCGAGAATTAGTAAACTTAATCCAAACTAACCACAGAATGAACCAAGACCATTAAGATTCTCCTCGAAACATTGGGATTATTTTCCATCAACTTGAGGCCTGCTGTCTCATGTCCCCTCTTTAAAGGCACTTCCTCCCTCTAGGGAGAACATTAGCATTTCCTTCGAACCAAGTTAACTTCTTGGTGTTGTGGAAATCTCTGCCAAATTGGAATAAATTATTTAGCAGCCTCTTTCAATTGTTGTCCTTGTAAACATTCCTGAGTCCCGACTCTGGCATTTTTCTAGTCCTACTCCACTCTCCTAGCATCATGATGTCTGGCCCATTTTCGTCACCAAGTTCTAACGCAATTTCCATCGACGAATAATTAAATATTCAATTTCCATGGAGAACATCCCATGGGGGATTTTTATGTGCTCAGCTTAAAGCATATTCTTCGGCCTGATCCTGCTCCTTGTTTGCCCAACGATTCCTGTTTGTTTAGACTTCAATTCAGTCCTCATTATTGGAACAGCCTCCGATTGCTGGGGGACGGGTGGCCAAGTGCTGCTCCTCCACTCACTTACATGGCTATCGGGCCACACACAATGCCAAGAGTCAAATCCATTTGGATTCGCCTCTATCTAGTGGAAGGATACACGCATCGAAGCAGACGGCAGGGAATTAAATGAATTCTCCCCCTCCCTCTCAGTGTGTCTCTGTCCGCCTTTCTTGCATGATATCCACATATATATCCCCCATTGCCACCAAAATTGGAGTGGAGACTCTGTTGGGTGTGGAGTGGTGATGTGGTTGGAGTTTGAGAGTGCTTGCCATAATTATTGTTGTTCCGTTCCCCATCCAAAGGATCCTTCGGACCCCTCTTACCCTGCTACCCTCCTGGCTTTCCTCTTGGAGATGTGTGTGAGCGTTAAGCGAAGTATAGCACATTTCGGGGGGCACAAACAAGAGGCGAACGCACTCATTTAGTCAAACAATTATATCCAATTGCACACAGATACTCCACACACCAACACCAGCACATCCGAAGTCTGGCCCTGTTCATTTGTGTGGAAATATCTCATTTGTGTGTGTAGCCACCCCCTCACCCTGCTGACCCTTTTGATTCTATTAAATCAGTCTATAAACGTCGGCCAAATTGCTTTAATGTGCAGCGAAAGTTTAGCAAAAAGCAGTTACAGTGAAGGCCATAACAATGGGGATGGTTAGGGGGAGCTGGGCTTAGGGGAAGTAGTGGGACATAACAATAAAAACAGCAGCGAACAGAAACCAGACTACAGCTGTTGAAACATGGCTTTGTGCTTTTTTAGAAACACTTGCAAAATATTATTGCAGCACCAACAACAAAAGGCAAATTCCGAAGGGGGTTGGTGGGTTGAAGCAGGGGCAACAGGGCGGATGTGCCATGTGCTAGGATCTCCAGCAGCCATGCAAACAGAATCTAAACAGAGGTATTAGTAAATTGGATCAGCTGCGAAAAGAGAGAAACGGAATCAGAGCAAACAGTGGAATCAGAGCGAAAGGCAAGAGAAGCCACCAAAGGCTGTAATAGGTTAAGGAGGAGCCCGGAACTTCGTGCCACGCATTTGAATGGCATCATTAGGGAGAAAGTTGTCGAAGTACATGGGCGTACTCGCAGAACAGACGAAATTACGAAGCGAGGAGTGAAGGAAAGTTGGAAATTAATTTCCATGGAACTGCGAGCATGTCCTCCTGTTTTATGGAGATTACCAGATCGACAAATGGCAGACTAACCTGAGCAACAGCAGAAACAGGTGCTAATTAAAAATGTTGTTGTCGGGCCATTAAAGAAATTTGTAAATCAACCTGCTTAGCAGGGGAGCAAGTCAAGCTCCACAGGGGGAAAGTCCACGGAAAGGGGAGCTAGCTATCTAAGGGACTTGGGATTTCTACTCCCCAGTTAAACTTGGCGACACGTACGCCATTAATGGATTTACCACTGTTGTTGCTTTTGATTAAAAGACATTACTTACATTTGTGACAAGACTTGAGGGGAGAGACTTGGGGGTATTACAAAAAAAAAAGACAGTTAATGGGTGACGCTGTATGTGACCAGCCAGGTGACGAATCCAAGGGGTTAACCCCGCCGAACAAAAGCCGTTGTCGCCAAAGGTTGACAAATTACCCAAACGTTGGTCGATATTTTTTTTCAAGTTGCTCAACCGCCCAACCGTCCGCTGGGGGAATCCCCTCTTTTCTTTTTTCCTGGTCAGAGGCAAACTGCGGCGGATGCTTTTGTCTGGCATTACACTATATTGATTGCTTCCTGTCAGCCGCAGGAGAGACAAACGGAAGTGGCGGATGTTTCTTTTGTTCCGATTTTCCCTTTGTGGTCCAAGGACCATCTCCCCCCTTTTGTTCGAGGCGCCGGTTACAGCACTGCACTTTACTTTTTGCTTTGACGCAACATGGAAATCGTTTGAAGCGAATTAGAGTACAAGATTTCTCCATTAAAATGTATGTGTCGCCCAGCTTTAATTGACAGTTTTCCATTGGCCCATTGGCTTAAGGGCCCCAACTTGGGGAGCAACGAACTGGTCAAAACTGCTGGCCAGGCAGGTTGGCATTGTAAAATGAATTTAATTTGCAAAGTCAACAAACCGAGAAAATCAATGGAAATCTGTAGGGAACATATGTAAATTGTTTAACCGCATTATTAAATGCTGAATCGAAATGAGGTTGGTGAGGAGCTGGAGAAAAGAGGCAGCCAGACAGGTGAGTGCCTTGAGGGCGTGGCCCGGACACGCAATGGCTAATTGAAAGGCAATTATGCGTGATTAAGTGCGTGTAAGCGGCGACTTTGGTTAACTATGCGCCACCTTTAATTAGAAGCCAGTTGAAAACGAAGAAACCCCCCCGAACACACACAGACATCTTCCCTCTTCAATTATGCATTAGGATCGCAAAGAACCTTTTTGGTTTGCCCCGAAAACGCTTATTAAACGCGCGGGCCTACTAACGAGGTCGCCTCATCAAAATGCCATGCATCAAAGGAAGTCGCAGTGATGGGGCGGCTTAAAAGGGGGAGAGGCGGTACTGGGCTGGGCTGGCCATGGCCAAATCGATCAGGCATAAATCAAACGAAATTCAAATTAGTTGGCCCCGGCAAATTAGAAGGCACATACACACAGTTTGTCCTGCCAGCCTCGGCCATGGAAATGCCAAAATAATGAGAGTTCAGAGTTAGTTGGCTACCAAAAAAGAAAGAAAAAACACCGAACGAGGGAAAAGTCAGACAGAGAGGCTTTCCACTTTGATTAAAGGCTTTTCCACAGACGAATATTTTTGGGGGGGAAATGGCAAAAGACCTGTTGTCAGGTAAATTGAAATATAATTGAGCCAACGGCGAGAGCAGGTAGCTCTGTCAGTTCAATCTGGCCATTCCACTTTTCATCTGGTTTCGCTCCACTGACACATGGCTTATTAGGACAAGGCGACAGGTCGTATGCGCGATACGTTCAAAATGTCGTCATTGTCTCTGACTATAGGAAAATTCAGTTGTGCTGGCTGGTGTTCGGTCAAAGGGAGGCGGGAAGGGCTGCATATTTGCAACAGCATCAGCAATTTGCATAGTTTCATTTTGTGTCAACAATTTTGTGCAACAGTGGGTTAACTATGCTAGATAGGGGTAATTATAAAGGTTAAGGATTATGAAATTTATAGATAAAATTGACGAAAAAGTATTTAAAAGTTGAATAAGTACTAAAAATTATCAAGAAAAGATAAAGATTTGATTTCCTAACCCCTAACATACGTGATTATTATTAATAATTTTCATTTTTAAACTAATAAAATAACCTAAAATATTCCAACTTAATAACAATTTGAATTCACTTTTAATTAATTAACTTTAATTTCTAACAGACTTTAGTTTTCCATTTCCTTTGTTTATATACTAAAAAGTGAAGTTTTCCACAGAATTTAGTTAGAGGTTGCCCAACTCGAAACTTGCAGCGGTGAGACTTCATTAAAATATTTACACCCAACCACCCCTGCTCCACTGTGCGGTGATGGAAAATTGTGTGAAAATTTTGTGATGCTTTTCTCTCTCTCTCTCTCTCTCTCTTTCTCTCTTGTTGTTGGGGAAAAAAGTTTGACTGTGCAGTTTTCGGGTTTGCCGGCAAGTGACGTGCTGACGTTCGTCGTTCTGGCAAAATTGTCATCAAGCGTTTTTAATTACAAGCCCGTGCGAGATTGGGGGGCGCTACAGCATTGGGGGCGGGGCAGGACGTTGGTTGCGGTTGTTGTTCCTGCGGGTAGCCGTAGAGCTGCAAGTGACATAAGCAAATCAGACGCCTGTCAAGTCGTATGTGTTACGTTTTGTATACTGGTGTTTGTGCTTACGTCATTTGCAGGACAACCCCTAGTATACCCCCTCCCCCCATCCCCTTCGCACAACCCTGTTGTCATTAGAAATGTCACAACAACCAAACAGCAACAGCAGCAGCAGCAGCTGCAGGTTTGCCCTCAAACAACGATCCATCCCGTATCCTTGACGCCCAGCTGGAAACTCAGTTTCAAAATTCAAACCATCTCTCTCATCTAACATCCCCACCCATAATTCCTATCCACCCACTGTATCATGATCGAACATTTCGGAGCGGGGTCACCATCAATTGGCAGCTATTTTCGGTCTTCTTGGCCATTTCGAATTTCAAATGAAAAGCCAAGCAATAATGTCTCCTCCTCGTTTGACATCAGCATTTAATATCGAAAGCTGAAATTGAACATTTCCATTTGCAATTCGAACTGATGAGAGAGGGGGGGGATGGGTGGAAAACTCTTATAAAATCGCTTTCCCCCAGCTTGACCCCTCGCGCTTCACATCCCTGTTTATTGGAAATAAACATTGGCCCAATCTCGTTTTAATTTTTCAGACATTTTCCGCATTTATTGGCCACATTAGCACAGAGGGAGAAATTTCAAGTATTTCCTCAACGAGACAATCAACTAAGATTGAAGGCAATAAAGCCAAGAGGCCAGAAGTCCATTGAAGTGCTCAATTATTTCATTTGAAACTGAGTTGAGTCATTTAACTATTTATTACGCCACTCGAAGTGTTTTTTTGTTGAGCATTTTGAAAGATTTTCTGTTTGATAAGATGAAGATTACTCATTTTTCAAAGAAAGCTCAAGAGATTAATTGGAATTACTTAGCAGAACAAAGGTGAATTCGAATGGAAAATATTTTATTGTTTTCTAATTTCAGTTGTTTAAGAAATTTTTGTTCTTTTTACAAAAAGTTATATAAACTAAGTTGCTAGATTGGACTTAAAAAAAGGAGATTTCTTTATAATTACTTTTAGATATATATTTTATGGATATCTCTTTCTTATTTATCAAATTATTACTCACTTAAGCACTAATGGACCTCAACTATTTCTCTCTGTGCTGTAATTAATAACTCCTCCGTTTCCGCTGTTTAATGTTAAACCGATTAAATGAATTCTAATTACACTTGAACGGGTCTCATTAACGCAACCAGGCACATTCAAGGCAGCCAACAAAGGATGCTGGATGTAACCAGAATGCTGAATGTAACCAAAATGCTGGATGTAACCAGGAACCAAAGTGTAACCAGGAGCCATGGAACACCCTCCCAGGTTCAAGGTCTGGCACAGACAATCGTTGTTGTCTCCGACTGAGGGAGAAGGGCAACTTTTGCATATGAATCCCGTAGGATTTATGGCTCAGCCAGGATACGCCCCAGCAATCCAATCCTCCAGCCAGGAGCACAGGAACTTCTGCTCCAGCTCCTGCTCCTCCCCTTCTTGAGGGGCAAACAGCGGACAGCTTTGATGATGGAGTGCGATATTGTTGCGTTTTAATTGAATTTTCTTTGTGGGCCAAAAGCAGCACCGGCAAACGGCAACCGGCAGCACGACAAATACAATAAAGGACAAACAGCAGGAATCGCAGGCGAGCAAAAGGAGAGATGGGGAGAGCGGGAGTTGCCCCTTCAGGAAAGTGGCAATGAAGGCAATAATGAAATGAAATTCACTAACAAAAGGCAGCAGCCAACAACTATTGTTTTTATTGCCTTTTGTCGCTGTGTGGATGTTGCCATCGCCATCGCCGTTGCGAATGTGAATGCGCTGCAATTGTGTCGTTTTGGCTTCCTCCCGGCGGTCGTGTCCTTTTGTCCTGCTTTCACAGGAGCTGTTGTCAGACCACACCAAATAATATAATTCCCGCATATTGCCAGCGGTGGCTTTTAATAAAAACGCCATCCACCTGCTGCTCCAGCTCTCTAGCTACTCCTCTTGCTCCTCGGTGATGGAGATTTAGTGTCCAGGGAAAAGCCCATTGGATCCACTTGAACTCGACCGCGGTTATGCAGATTTCTGAGGGAATTGTGCAGATTTTTCTTGTGTTTATTAGACCGAGTTTCTTCTCAATTTTTTGGGCAAAACTGTTTCATGTTTCATGAGTATAAATGTGCTGCGTAGGCAGGAATTTAAGCGGGCATAGTTAAGTTCATGGGGGGAGGGAGAGTAATAAGAGGAGGTTGGCCTCCCAAAAACCAACTTCTGGTTATCTGGCAGCAGACTTTGTTTGCCCAAGACGAGTTCGCAATTTCCTACAGCTGAGCTCTCCTATGGAAAATTCCACCCCCCCTCTCTCCCTGTTGGCTGTGCAAACACATAATGCTCGGCGAATTAAAGCTTTTTTGCCAGCCAATAAATTATTCATGCTGTAAGACAACTGTAAGGGGGGCGAGGGAAATTATACATATATATATATAGAGAGAGAGAGAGATATATATCCGAAGAAGATGAGTGGGAGTGCCTTGGAGCGGAAACGGAACTCAATTCATTAAAATGAATGAACGGAGGAGCGCAGCCGAGTGCATGACTAACGGTAAACGGATGCAAGCTGAAAGATGCAAATCCGGCAGCTGAAATTGCTGTTTCTCTTGCCAAAGTCGTTGCCAGTTTTGGCCTTTTTTATTTTTGTTGGCTGGTTGTAGCGCCGTGGTCCTTAGTTGGCCCAAATTAGATGGGGGTACGGAAATATGGAAATTTATACAGTTTCCTCGACTCAAGTGTCCTGCCAGTGAGCAGTTTACTTGAGCGGAAAGTCCTTTCCGAACCCAATGAAGGGTGGTAATCTTGATTGCAATATTGCCTCAAAATCACCTCAAATCGATTTTCCACACTGAATTTGTAATTAATTGATTAACACAAATTTTGGAAATTTAAAACGAAATAGAAGGGAAGCTTCTGTTGCAACACAAAATTTGATATTAAAATTGTTTGCTTTTGACAAGAGCAGCCATAATTAAAGGTTGAACCAGTTTAAAATTTAATTTCAAACTATCAAAACAACAGCGAATATTAAATTAGAGATTGTACACAAATATAGTATAACTATAAGTTTCTAATTTTTCAAATAGCCAAGCCTTTAATTGATTTAAATATTAATTTTTAAGCTTACCCTGGCCAAAGCTTGATATGAATAAATTTTGCAATCAAAACTTCTCATTTTGAGTCTCAAATTAAAATATCTTTTAACTTACAGGCCTGCAGTCTCTCCACGCCGAAGAGCATTCGTAGCAATGGCAATGGTCATTGCACTAGCGGAAGCGGAAGTTTAAGTCTTTTTGGGGGAATCCCCACGGGAAGCACAATAACCATGGCCAGTCATGGCGAGAAGGGAAACCAGCGTCTGCGACGTATTCCCAGTGTCCAGCCGGGTGCCCTTAGCTATGAGGAGCTGGTCAAGGAAGGCACTTTTGGCAGGATATATGCCGGGAAGTTGGGTGAATCCTGTGAGGCACTCGTTAAGACAGTCATCGATGGGGCCTCGCTCACCCAAGTGGCATGTCTGCTGCAAGATGCCTCGCTACTGATTGGGGTCAGTCATCAGCATATATTGGCACCGCTGTTGGCTAACACAGAGCTGCCGGGTCCACCGGAGATCGCCTATCCCTATCCGTCCAAGGGCAATCTCAAGATGTGAGTAGCTAATCAGAAATTCTAATAGAAATTTTGTTTTCAAACCAGTCTCTGGACTGAAAGATACCCTCTATAACTATATCTTTTCCCTTATCAGATACTTGCAAAAATCGCGGGAGTCCAGCACGGCTTTGAGTACCCGGCAGCTGGTTGAGTTTGGGCTGCACATCACCAAGGGACTAGCCTATCTGCACTCTCTGGGAATTGTTCACAAGGACATTGCTACTCGCAATTGCTAGTGAGTATTAAAGAGATCTCAACCTTGCTTTTCTGTTTTTACTTCTAAAGTTAAGTCTTATTACGCCTTTCTAACCATTTAATAAACATTAACTTCCAGCCTTGACGAAGAGTCCTATGTGAAGATCTGCGATAGTGCCCTGTCCCGCGATCTCTTCCCCGACGACTACGACTGTCTGGGTGACAATGAGAATCGCCCACTGAAGTGGCTATCGCTGGAATCTCTTCAGAAACGGGTGTACGCCACCCAGGGTGATGTATGGGCGTTGGGTGTGACCTATTGGGAGCTGGTCACACTGGCACAGATGCCACACGAGGAGGTGGATATATTCGAGCTTACCAATTACTTGGCTGCCGGTTTCCGGTTGGAGCAGCCCGTCAACTGCCCAGATGAATTGTAAGTAGCAAAGGATGGTAAAGAAAAATAAATCGAAAAGTTAAAAATATATATGTTTTTTTACCCCCCCTCTCTACATTAACCAACCCTTAGCTTTACCGTTATGAACTGCTGTTGGCACTGCGAGGCCAAACAACGGCCCACGCCCTCGCAACTGCTCTCGTATCTGCAGGACTTCCATGCGGATCTCGGTATGTACATCTAAGCGAGAAGGGAGAACGACTGACGGCCGGGTACCAGGCGGTAACCAAGTGAAGTCAAGCGGAGCGAAGCGAAGCCCAATATAAATTAATAGAAACTTTTGCATTTTAAATGTGAGATTAAATGTGAATTTACCTGTTAGAGTTTGGCGCAAAACCAATTTCAATGAAAGCCAGCTAACTTCAGATACGTAAGCAAACACACAAATACACACACAAGTACACTGGGGTGGGCCTCAATATGTGTTTGATTTTATTTTTAATAAGCAGTTAAGGCTTAAGTAGACTGTGTAAGGGTTAACAGACAAAGGTCACACTGCCTATGAGCAATAAACATCGAATATTCTAAGGCCACACTGCGTATGAGTGATACTAAGCACTTTCACTAAAACATCAACTTATTAAGAAGTTAAAAGCTAATCTAAGCTCGCAATACTATGGTATTAAGATACAGTTTTAAAAGAACTCACTTGACTTTGGCCACACTGCGTATGAGTGATACTCAAGACCAAATTCACTGCCCTTGAAAGTTTCAGCACTTGAAAAGTCAAAAACCAAGCGAGGTCCACCCAACAACAATAGAACAGCTATCAATTTCCAAAAACCAAAACCGATGACACAAAGTCTGGCACGAAAAGGGTCCCCAGGCGGCGCACATGGGTTAAACGTTAGATAAAACTGACATTTAAGTAGTTAGCAATTGAATAACAAACACTCACAAGCATCTAAAGACACACAAACACACACAGAACAAACCTTACATGATAAATGAATGTGAATTATTGATGTGCATATTTTATTGAATGTGTGTAGTGTAAGCAAAAAGGAAGAAAAGGAGAAGGATTGAAAGGGAGTAGGAGTAGGAGGAGAAGGAGAAGGTGCGACAACAGGATGCGGAATCTTTTGTTCACGGAATGTTGTCCTCGAGATTGTTACGAAAGCGATATATTTATTTACCTTGATTATTATTATTATTACTATTGCGTATTGACATAAGGGAGGAAGTTCAAAACAGAATCTGAATCAGGTGAAAAGCAAAGAAAATGAGCAAATGTTAAACCGATGGCAAAGAACAAAACATTATTCACACCCACAGCCACAAATTACACAAATGACACAATTGCATGCATAGAGCTATCCTTAACCCCTTAACGCCTAATATAGCCTTTAACACTTAACCCTTTAACTTGCTCCCTCGCCCGCTTGCCTCTAGGGAATAATCTCCCATCCTGACAGGACACGCCACCATGAAATATGCATTATGCAACCTGGCTTTTCGCTCAGTGCAGGTGTCTGTGTGCAGTTTGTTTGCCAACCTGTCAGTTGGCCCCCCAAAATCCGAGCCAAAAATCCCCAGCTTAAGACATTCTTGTTGTTTGTTTATGCCTTTTAGTTGAATTAGCCAAGAATTGTTTCTGTTTCTGTTTCTGTTGCTGTCTCTGTTTCCATTTCCCCAGAGTTATAAATTAATTTGCATTTCCGTTAGCCAAGTCAAGGCGGCAACTTAAAGTTGCCCAGCCCCCCGAAAACTAAGCTCCACACCCAAAAGAAAACATTTGGCAAATATATTGGTCTGATAGTTAGTAGACTATAAAGATGATTTATGCGTCAACTATCATACCTTTCCAATATATTTGCCAACTAATTAATAGCTAAAGCATTGCCCTTAACAGAAGGCCATCATGTAAACGTAGTTTAAATGTTCTCTGTAATAGTTAAAACAAAAAAGCAAAAGCAAAGCAAATAACTATGCAAATCAAAAGAAAAGAAAAAAACACAGTCAAGCACCGAAATAACTAAGAATGAAATAGAAAATAGTTCCAAACCAGCAGCTGCTTATCCGTCTAGCTATGTAAGCCATCTTAAATATTGTTTATACTTAAGCTTCGCACTCGACTATGGAAACGTTACTAAAGCAAATACTGAACTGCAAACTATCAAAGCTCGCTCTCTCTCTCTGTATTTCTCTGCATTTAATAAATATCCCCCAAAAAGGCAGCTGCCGGGCAGCTGACAAAAACACACACACACACAAACTTAGATACATAAACAAACAACACACACCTATACACACACAGCCACACCACACACACACATATACCTACAATTATCCTGGGGGAGACAAGGAAATTTCAAATAGATTATAAAGCTAAGGAGACGGAGCTCTTGAATCAAAGGAGCTGCCCCACTATACTATAACTAACTGAATGTGTTTCATGTTTATATATATATAAATGTGTACGTGAGTGTATGTCTATGACTAAACGTATATTTTGTCGTCAAATTGAAAACTAACTGTAAAGGCTATTAAGAGCAAAACAAAACCAATACCAGCAAACGTGTAAAGCCCGGAAGGAAGACTGGCTAAAACACAGATACACACACACACACCCACACTCTCAGCAAAAACCCACAAAAACCACAAAGCAAAACAAATTGTCATTCACTCTACATATGTCTCACTCTTTAACTCTATATAGATGTATCTCTATATCCTACTTTTAGATATACTCTAGCATATGATTGTATGTGTAACACAGAAACTCGAAACTAATGCGTTTTCGTCTGAATTTCTGAAAAAAAAAAAAAAACAAAACAAAAAACAAAAACAAAATGAAGAAGGAATGTCTGCTAAGACACACACACACTCACACTCGAAACGCCCTCACACCTTTAAGACCCCACCCTATATATATGTATGTATATCTATCTGAATGCTATTATAATGATGGAAGTGGGCGTGGCACTAAGACAAAAGCTAAGAACCAGAACGAAAGACAACTTAAAGCAGAAATTCAATTTTTGTGAAGAGCGGCAGCCGAAAACCAAAAACAAAACCAAAACAAAAAAAACAGATAAAAAACAAAGAAACAAACACAAAAAAAAAAAACAAAGCAAATAAATTAAATGTTCCTTTTGAATCATAAACAGAAATTGCAATCTGAGCAATCGCAGTGCTTTATTAATCAACAGACGGTTTGTATAATGGGTGGGGGTGAGGGTCAGTTGGGGGGGGGAACCATCACTGTATGCATCAAAGGCCTGGGGATAGGTTCTGCGAGAGATTTGACTGGATTCGATGGGTGCTTCTGATCCATTCCATGCGAGGGCACGTACGCATACAACAGGAGCGGTTCAAAGGGGCTTGAGCATTTGGGCCACATCGATGGGGCCATGAAAATGATGGGGCCATAAAGTTATATTAAATAACTTTCTTTATGATTTGATTAGGAAAGGTAAGGTAGGTGCCTTTCTAAAAGTTTCCTGTATCATACCTTAGAAGCAATGATTCCTAATAGGAATTTATTTTAATTCTTATTTATTTACAGTTCAAGTTTTGAACCCATATCCATATCCATATTTAGAGTTTCAACAAGATTTTTATGGTGTTACAATAGATACGAGTACCCTTGAACCGCTCCTGGACAGCGTCCGTTATCCTTTAACTCAGACAAACATATTTGCCGTGCGTGTCAAAAACTGAGCGATGCGCATTTGCTGACCCCTCGGCACCCTTTCTTCACAGAACTCGTTTGCTCCGCTCTAATTACAAAGGATGTTAAAAGTCAAGGCTCTCGACTTTAAAATACCCTACACATAATATATATTAACACAGATATTGGAGGTATCTAAGACTGATTTATACAATTTTGTAAGCTTTTAAGACATTCTCTATAATCTACTTAGTAATATGCTGGCTCTACCCATAAAAAAATATTAAAACAGCTTTATAGGCTCCTCCAAATAGCATCCCAGGACTACATATACCCATCGTGCCCATTGTACCCTTCGCATAGTCAATCTTTTTTGCTCTCGCCCTCGGAGCTGTCACTGGACATTCGCTTTTTCACCCGTTTTCATAACGACAAAACTTTGAGTGGCAGGCCCACAAGAGGGTGGGCTTGGCCGGGATGGGAAAAAAAGCTGCGTTATGTGTTTGCCTCCAAGCCGGCAAAAAGCAAAAAAAAAAAATAGAATCGGAAAACAAAACAAACTAAATGGGAAAATCCGAGCCCAAGTTTGCCGTGGAACAACATCGTTGCCCCTGCGTGTCCTTTCAACTTGGATGAAAAAACTAAGGAAATTGGAATGGGATTGGGTAAAGCCAGAAGTGCGAGAAGCGGAAGTCTCCAACGCGGATATATCAACAGGTGTCGGTTGTGGGCTTTTGCCATTCCATTTGGGATTAAGTTTTGTAATTAGCCAAGTCTGATTGAACGGGAAATCATGTTTGGGAATTAATGAGCAATTAGTTGACGCATTATGACCGTCTCCCTGTCTGTCCACGCAAATTGCTGGCTGGTTGCATTGATAAGATCGCTGAATTAGAAGGGGTTTATGAATAATGTATTCGACACCATGTAGCACGGGTTTAGTTAAATGTTATAAGTTAATGATATGCAATCAAATATTAGAAATGAGATAAAAAGTTTGTGTTTCTACTTTGATTTTAATTCGTTTTTTGCTTAGCTTTGTGTAAAGAGTTTAAAAAAGTATATTTATTAGTTACGTGAAAGAATAAAGTCAGATGTTTATTACTAAAGTTCGCGGCCAAATAAGTTTTTGAAGAACTGGACTTAAACTAACAGCTCAGTAATACTAATAATAAGCGTTAAGAAGAAAAACTAACATTGGGCTAATTATATGATTACCAAAATCTAAAATACACAGATAAAGTTTAACCATTGTGACCAAGGAATTTATTGCAATTTCCTTTTACAACTTTAAAGCAAACCCTTAATAACCTCCACTGTAAATTTTCTATTCGTGTGTCCGATAGTGTACGGGGAGTGATTGATGAAAGAGGGGAATAGTCCTTACGCTTGGGTTGAGAAAGCCTATTTGGCAGGCATAAATCAGAATCAGAATTCCTGATTGAGTTTATCGCAGCATTTTGGTATTTTAATCTATTTAGCATTTAATTGGCAGCCAGAGGAGCTGGTAACTGGCATGAAATATGCAAAACGCTTTTTAAATCATTTAAAAAGGCTTTATTATTTATGAATTGTGATGATTTGTGGCACTATGACCAGAAATCGATACCGCCAGGCACTAAACCAATTAAATATGAGTAAACATATCAGGCTTTGGTCAGCTTGGCTGGCAATGATCGAAAATGTTAGATTACAATATAATTTTTAATGTTTTTATCCTGCGGTTTCACAGTCTCCACTTTTTTATGGACCATTCTCGACTCAATTCAATCGCGGGTTTAATTGTTTATGCAGTTCGCGTTTGCCTGGAATGTTAAACAAATTGCGGTATTGCGGGCATATTGCATTTTTATCTGTTCTGCATTATGTGCAGTGAAGGCACTGCGCCAGATGTGTTTTTTACCGCTTTTAATTAAAATGATATATAAACTTATATATATATATATATATGTATATGGATGATGAAGCCGCAGAACTGCAAACCACAAAATAAATAGATTCCTCGCGTTTTTTGAACAAGCGGAAAGCCCGCAACTGCGATTATGTTTACGAGTTCTCTGGACACAAGGCTCACTGGATTGTTATTACAGCAGTTCCAGTTATCGCAGTGGATTTTCCATTTGATTAAACGTAAATATTGTAGGAAAAACAATGACCAAAAACTACAAGCTACATGCCAGCCAGCCAGCCAGACTTCAGCAATTGATTCGGAAAGTTCATCAATTTGACAGCGAAATTCAATTGGCAATGGGCAAGGAGCAAAATGGTTTTGGCTGTTTGCTGTTTGTTAGTTATTTGCTGCAGTTGCATTAATTAAAATTTTACACCCCACTACACAGACGGCTTGCAACAATAACCACTGAAATAATTCAACTTGATAGACAGCAAGACCGGCAATTAAACATTCGGTGCGGTGCGCCCCAAGATCGAATCTCTAAAGTTTGTGTCTGCCACAACAGCAACAGCCAACAGGCAACAGCCAGAAACCAACTTATCGCCAGCTGCAGCTTTTGCCCATTTGGCTGAATAATTTGTGGGTGGGGTCAAGTGCTGACAACTGTGAATTATAAAGAAAAAGTAGCCAAAGTAGGGGCATTAAAATTAAATGATATAAGCTACTTATTGTAAGAAGAGAAAAAATGGGTTTTAACTTGTTATTATTTTATTTCTTTGTAAAAGCTTAGCCATTAATAGCGTAAATTATATGTACATTTTTTAAAGGATCTACAATTTTGGTAAGTTTTTGTCTTAAGTTTTTATTATTACAGAAAG